GCCTCATAGTAGATGAGCTCCTTGAGTTGCTTACAAACAATGGGATTCGGTGTCAAGGTTACGTCGACGACGATGTCATAATGGCAAATTTGAGAATACTCTCTGCAATACGGTCGGGTTAAATGGCGGCAGAATTCAGTGGTACACTGACGGCTCGAAGACATCGGAGGACATTGGAGCAGGTATTGCAGGACCGCACACCAAGCTTTGCTTACCCATGGGATGTTTTCCGAGCATTTTTTTATGCAAAAGTCTTTGCTGTAAGTCAGTGTGCAGAAATTAATCTCCAACGCAACCAGCATATCGCCATACTCAGCGACAGTCAAGCGGCGCTAAAAGCGATTTCAGCCTCTGACATTAAATCGCTATTAGTGGAGGAGTGCATAGGTAGGTTGAACAGCCTATTGGTCTGCAACTGTGTAAACGTCCTGGGTGCCGCGGCATAAAAGCAACGAGCTGGCCGACGAACTCGCCCGCTTTGCTGCGGCTTCTAGGATGATGACCAGAACCCTGCATTGCGGTGAGGACCATATGATAACGAAGCTACTCTGCACGGAGAAAAGAGTCTGCAGATACATTTACTAGCAGCAAGAAATAGGTATGTGCAATGCAAAGCTGCTATTGCGAGGTTACAATTTAGCAAGGTTTATATACATGATTAACCTCCCCCGAGGCAAATTCCGTCTATTAGTCGCACTCTATACTGGGCACTGCCTGCTCAATATACACTTGTCCAACGTGGGCATGGCTACTTGTGCAACCGGCAGTCTTGAGCACCTGATTCTAGATTGCACTTGTAAACGCATGCTCAAAGCTCTTCGATCCATTTATGTGGATAGAGATCACATCACCTCAATAGCGCCCAGCAAGTACTTGGAATTCATCAGAGTGCTGGGCCTTTGTGTATATACTTATGTGATAGAGGAGAGGGCACAATAGACCCTTGGTCGCGGTGCAAACTTCAATTAAACTCAATTCTATCTTAGTCTTATCTCCAAGTGCTACCGACTAGCGACTGAGAATTTGTTGAGGTTTTGTGGCAGAGAAGAACCGAGAAAGGTTGAGAAGTTAGTTGTTTCGAACATATGTCATCCATTCCATGGCCACGCGTCAATATCGTGTAATCATCAGCGTATGAGCTGGTGGAAATTTTCTCTGATGGTTGAGGGAATGTCAAAATATAGTAATTAAAAAACAAGTAGAGGATACCACCNAATATTTGATCGACATGTGTGCTAAAAATATTCTAAAACGAATAAAACAATTTTAAAATGTGTACAGCATACATAAAACACAACAAAATGTTAACAGTTTTCAATAAAAAACGCTCTCGCTCGCAAACTCAAAAGATCAAATACCAACATACATAGGTACACTGGCTACTAATCATGTGCATTTGTTGTACTTGTCACTACTTGTTATGAGTTTTTGTTTTACTTATAAGTGTAAAAAACAAATACAGCTACGACGCAATAGCAAATACGGGTGTTAGTGGCTTCTCCCGCGTCGATACTGGATAAGTAGGAGTTTAACCTACTGCTGTATACGTAACGAAGTTAGGAGGGTCATTCCTAATTCGCGAAGCACCTCGAGCTCTTCTTCTGCAATGGGTGCGGGTTGTACTGCAAGGAAGTCATTCATTGGGAGTGAGTCAGTGAAAGTGATAATAGCTTCACTGTGAATGTCGCTGACGTAATGCAAAAATGTTCTCTTGATATTATAAGAAGCTGCAAGCAGATGCCTGAAGACGAGTTCGTTGTGTTTCTTAATTGGAAGCTTACGATGACCGACCGGCTATTTGTCTTGTAAATTGCCCTCAAAATGTTTTAAGAGACGGGACGGAGGGCGTGCGCAAACAGAAGAGGAAATCATTATGGATGAGATCTACAGGGGGTGTGAGTACCCCGCCTCAATGCATGTTTATACTTTAAGTCAGTTCTGCTGTTAGTCAACTGTAAGTACGAAAGGGAGCAACCTGGCTAGCGGAGACCGATCCGAAGCTCGAAGACACGAAAAGCCCAGTTCTTTGCGCGAAGAGGGGCCAAGAAATACCGTCCATGCACAGCAACAAGGTGGAACTACCCTCCATACAGGAGGTCCTGGAAGAGCTGATGGAACAGGATTGCGACAAAGATGACGAGGATTTATCCTTCATAGGTCCATTCAGGTGAACCTACATCACGCGACTGCAGCCTTGGCTGTTAGCGCGAGTAGGTTTCACTCAGATAACCTGGACACTCTACTAATTTAGGAACCGTGGACTTATAGAAGAGAGGAGGGGCTTCAATACAAGCATAATCAAGGTAATCTGGGATCTCTCTAGTGAAAGACGGACTGCAACCCGAGGGGTGAGTCTCTCTTTGAATATAAGTGGCAATTTAAGCATTGAGAATGCGGGTTGCGTACCCACCTTCGTCACCAGCACTACA